GCTAAAGATGCCAGACAAAGAAATTACTTTAAAAAGAAATATGAATACTTGGGAAACAAATTTCCTTATTAGGGTATTGATAAAATAGAGGAAGTTGTCATGAGAGGAAAATGTAGACCTGCAATTTCAGCCTTAGAATATGAAATAGAACATTCACCAAATGCCAAGTTTTTAGCACAGATCCTACATAATAATACTCTCTTTATTCAAAATTTCTTGGTACTCAAGGCTCTAATAATCTCCATTTCTGTTTCCCAACAAAGCTGTGCCAAGTATAATTAGATTTGGACAAAACTACTTATGGACACTGTATTCTCTAAAGGAAGTTTACAATGAAAGAGATTCCAAACAAATCTACATGTCCTTAAGATAGACAAGAAAAAAAAAAAAAAAATCTTTTTTAACCTATAACCACTAGGTGTTGCTGCACTTGTCAGCAAAAGCTCAGAAACAAAAGTGGGGGTGTGGCTCAGTTGGTTGAGCATCTTCCCACAGGTTCAATTCCCAATCAGGGCACGTAATTCCCAGTCAGGGCACATGCCCAGGGTGCAGGCTCAATCCCCAGAAGCGGGCATGCAGGAAGCAGCAGATCAATGCTTCTCTCTCCCTCTCTCCCTTCCTCTCTCTCTAAAAATCAATTAAAAAAAAATTAAGTTTATAAAAGTGGAGGGAAATAGAATAAAAAGCATACAATGAGAAAACAAGTTCTAAGAAAAATTTAGCTATGACAGTATTATCTACAATAAAACCAGTAATTCAAAACGCATTAATCTTGTCAATCAGTTAAATTGGGATGTACTGAGAAAAGCTTTCCAAAGAAAATATAAGCTAACAGTACATTCTTAACTTTATATAATGGCAAAAAAGTGCTTTAAACTTATAAATTATCAGTGGTATGTCTTTACTATTGGTAAGCAGTATTGCAGGCCCTCAGTGCAACAGATGTTTTTGGCAGTGAAACCTGACCAAGAAAAGTGAAAATGTTGTTAAGACATAATGTGTTTCTGCCCACTGCAAGATCTCATAAAGCAGAAATAAAGTTTATCTGATGTTCCCCCATCAGAAAAATAGAAATGAATATTTCTGAACATGCTTTAATATTTATTATCAGGTTGCCCCAGAACACTAATATTAACACTTGGGTGGGGCAGGGGTGGGGGAGTCCAGTGCAGACAAGTAAACCAGAAGCTTGTTTATAAAAGGTGGTTAAGTATCAACATAATGAAGCAGCAGCATAAACAAGTACCAGCATGTACCTTTTAACTAACACCTATAGGTAAATGGTCACTGCTGACAAGTAAGGAAATGAGACATGTCCTCACAGATGCACTTTTTTGTTGTTGTTGTTAATCCTCACTTGAGGATATTTTTTCCCATCGATTTTTAGAGAGTAGAAGGGGGGAGGGGAATCAAACTCGTGACCCTTTGGTACGAGGGCCAAGGCTCTAACCACTGATCCACGCTGGCCAGAGCAGCCACAGATGCATTCCCTTTTTTTTAAAAAAAAACTTATTCNGAGAGTAGAAGGGGGGAGGGGAATCAAACTCGTGACCCTTTGGTACGAGGGCCAAGGCTCTAACCACTGATCCACGCTGGCCAGAGCAGCCACAGATGCTTTCCCTTTTTTTTTAAAAAAAACTTTCTCTCTCTCTTTTTTTTTTAAATACATCTTTATTGATTTCAGAGAGAGGAAAGGAGAGGGGGAAGAGAGACAGAAACACCAATGATGAAAGAGTCACTGATCGAGCCCGCAACCCGGGCATGTGCTCTGACCGGGAACCGAACCCCGATCACCTGGATCCTAGGTCGACGCTCAACCACTGAGCCACGCCCGGCCGGGCCACAGATGCATTCATATATTCAAGCACAGGCCAACAATATGACTGTCTTTTTTAAAGTTCGACATCATTAGCAATTCCGTGTCCCCCATCCCTCTCTGCAGAACATGGTTATAAACCTCAGGTAAACCTATTCATTCCTTCTGCAACTTTGTACAATAAAAATCTAATCTGGAACCCAGAGTTTCTCATTACTTTTCTCTGGTTTCCCTAATCCTCAGACTCAGTCTCCCAATATATACATCATCTGGTTATATACCCCTTACCAAAAAAAAAAAAAAAAAAAAAAGGGGGAAACTGACCTAAGGAATCTCCATCAAGGGCACAGATAGCAAATGCACATTCTGAGCTTTTCCCATGAGGTCCACTCAAAACACGAGAATTTACTATGCCTTATATTACTACATAATAATTTACCAAATAACTATATTTTCTTCCCAAATGTACTATAAACACATATAGGGCAGTATGATCTCAAGTAAACTCTAAGTCTTTCAGAAAAGAACAGGGCTATTAAATCCATAATTGATATTTTCTTATAGACCCGGAAAAAAGCAGCTCTCATTCTTGGGCATGATAAAAGCTGGGAAGCATTCTTAAAAGGATGGGTCTTGAGGAGAGCATGTGACCTAGACTAAGGTCAGATCGGTACCTGGATCAGCTACTACATAACAAAAGGCTAGCAAATAACCTTCTTAGAAAAAGAAGCATTTTAAAAATTATATATCATTCCAGAAGTTTTCAAGTTCACTATAATCCACCTACTATTCAGTAAAGCAATATGAAAAGTCAGTGGTGGCAGTTACTTCTCTAATCACTACTAGTCTCAGAAAGTGAAACAGTTTTTCTCCCCCAATTATGTAAGATTAATTTAGATGAAGAGCTGTGCTCTTTCCTTAGTTTTCCATATATCAGCAATTTTATACATGATAAATTAAGAAGGGAATAAATAACAATGCCAGCCCTTTATTTCCCAGATGTGTCTGTGAAAAGAAAATGACAAAAGCACTGATGTTCAATTAAAGAAACTTCATCAGAATCTCCAGGGGAAAGACTAAGAGGAGGTATATGTGTATATAATTTGGTGGAATAGATGTACCATTAACCCCAAATAATCTGTCAAAAAGAGGACACAGACAAACAGCAGCTGTGTTCCAGCAAACCTGGAAGAAGAGAAACATCTGAAAGTCAGGTTTAAAAACACTGGTACCACTCAAAAGCGAGGGACCACTCATAACACTACTGTATGCACATGTATAGCACAGAAAAACAGAACAAAGGGGCCAGAATGAATACTATTTTAAGATCTACTGGACTCACAGCAAATTAAGAAAATAAACCCCATTTAATTAATATTAGACATTAATTTTTATTTTTAAACACTATCNACTCACAGCAAATTAAGAAAATAAACCCCATTTAATTAATATTAGACATTGTTATGTAATGTGTATTAATTTTTATTTTTAAACACTATCCACTCAGAATCTCCAAAAATTCTCACTTCTCTATGTGAATCCCTCCTGTACTTCTGATTCTGAATAAATTTCTATACCTAAACTGCTAAAAGTGACCTGAAATGGGAAAAATAGGGCTTGAAAAATTCCAAATACCAAACGAACATTTTATTTACAGTCTAATCAGTCAGTCACAGTAAGCCAAAAAAAGTAAGACCAAATATGGAATTTTAAAAACCCCTTCAAAATAAGAAATAAAGTGCCCTTCCCTACTATAAATTATGTTCTCTTCCTTTAGGTACACATTCTTTTTGGACACATAAGCTTTAAACTGTTTTTCTAAGAGTAGTAATACCTCTACACTCATGGATAGTCCACAGCTGATCAACAATACACACTGGTGAACTGGTTGGGAATGGGTGTGCAATTTGTATTCAAGCCAACCCAAGTGAAGCTAATAGCCTGTCTGAAAAGTGAACCCATAACCTTTGTCTCATTAGCACTGCACTCCAGCTGTTAAAGAATCAAACACTAACTTGGATTGGGGGGTGGGGGGCAGTAAAACACTAACAACAGGGAGAAAATTTATATAGTCAAGTCTACTCAAAATTTTCTATTAATGGAAACCACCTGCAAGAATGAGAGATGCAGTTTTCAGTATTTGAGCCTGGTGAGAATACTGATGGGGTTTTTTCTATTCTAAGTTTCTATTCTGAAAGGGAGGCCCTTTAATTCATTATTCTCTCAGAGTCCCTGAAACTCTGAGGAATGTTTTTCTGAAATAACTGCTCTAGATCCCAAATTATCTATATACTAGTAGATACCTGCTGTGACTTTGAAGAGCCATACAAAGTCATTCCTTATATGAAAAGTCATGCATCCCCCAAAGGAATACTGTGATCGAAACTCTTTTAAATATGCAACCCATAAGACCTCTAGCACAGCTTAATTCAAAGCTGTGAAATTTAGACTTCATGTTCAATATCAAAGATATAAAACCATTTACAAAACACTGATGAAATATTCACTACTGGTTGCTTCCACCATAATTCTATACTGATTGCCAAAACTTAATTCTACCATTTGATAAATATTTCCCCAAGCTTTGGTTAATTAATCTTTCTCCCACATAGCTCATAATGAATTCAGCAACAAAAAAAGCTATACACATATGGACTTTTTTTTCCTGACATGACTACNTACTGGTTGCTTCCACCATAATTCTATACTGATTGCCAAAACTTAATTCTACCATTTGATAAATATTTCCCCAAGCTTTGGTTAATTAATCTTTCTCCCACATAGCTCATAATGAATTCAGCAACAAAAAAAGCTATACACATATGGACTTTTTTTTCCTGACATGGCTTTTCCAGTATAGGTCTTATATAATATTCGGTTTGTGCAGAAACTGCCCCTAGGAAATTCAGGCAGTGGTTTTTCCCTATTAATGTAGAAAATCATTCACATAAGCTTTTAAGACTAGAAAGAGATGAATACCCATTTCTCGTGCCAGTATAACTCAGAAATCCTAGGGTTAAGTGCAAGAAAATACATAATTCCTAGAATCCTGAAGGTTGAGTAAAATTTCTGTAAAAAAAACCCTCTAGAACCCCAGACAAGAGGCAAGAGTATTTGCATCAAATTACCGTTAACTCAAAACCATTATAAAATTGGTTTTAAAATGAAAAAGCAAGAAACAAACCTCAATTTTGTCTGTTTTGGCATCTCCCCAGTATATTTTGCCTTCATCATAATCCAAGGCTAAACCATTTGGCCAACCAAGAGAAGTGTTAACCAACACTACTCGGTCAGAACCATCCAGAGCTGCTCGCTCAATTTTCGGGATTTCTCCCCAGTCAGTCCAATACATGTACCTATAAAAGCATACAGAAAATGAGCTAAAAATAGACAATAAACTGTAGCTTTCAGATATCCTAAAGGTGAGATCCACCCCTCATATCACACTGATATTATCAATTAACACCACAGAAGGGGGGGGGGAGCACTTAAACATATCAAGAGTATGTTTAAGACATTTATTTATAATAGCAGCATATAAGCTTGTAGGGAATTTTCAGATCAGTGTTTTCTAGAACTGATAATAAAAATGCCTTCCAATAATGAGATTCCATTTTTATTTACATTTGTTCAAAATATTTTGTGTTCCTTCCCATGAACAACCTCTCTTTTTCTTATTGGCTTGTCATTTCTGACACAAAAAGGTAATCCCAGTAGTAATAATGAGTAATAAACAAACTGAATTCCCAAAATAACCAACTCTCCCTGTGGTGCTAAGTGATTTGTCTGGCTCCTGGGAGTTTAAGTGGCTCTAAGGCATTAGTATACACAGAAATGTAATGATTTGCCACTATGTTTGCCCTCATAATAATTCTCCTAGTTAACTAACAACATTGATGAGTAAGTAGAAGGATTTGTTTCCCTGGACTGTGGTCAAGGTGTTACGGCAAAAAAATAAAAATAAAAAGAACTGGGAGTCAAGCTGCATGGCATGACAAAGTTTTGAAAATCAAGTCATTTGTATATTTGGAACTATATAACATAAGATATATTTTTTACCATATCATTCTAGAAGTACTGAAAATGGGATAAAATTAAGTCTTCATGGGGAAGAAAACATTTTCTTTCCACATTTTTCATGGTCATGATGCAACCTCAACAAAATCTGCAGCCAATACCCAAAGTGAGGACGCATGGACTTAATTTAGAAAGATAAAGTATTCAAAACATTCAAGAAAAAAAGGTAGCAATTCTTTAACTTGCGATTTTTTTACAATCACTGTATTCTAAAAATGGAAAGCCATTAAAGAGCTATTTATTGGAAATCGTATATACTTCATGTTGTTTTTCTCAATATATTTAGGGACATATAGAAAACAAAAACACCAGGCAAAATTTTCTATCAGCAGAGCTTCTTACCCAACCCTAGGATCTAACACAATAGCCCGGGGTTCCTCTAAGTCCTCTGATATCAAGATCTTCCTCATGGTCCCATTGAGCCTTGTCACTTCTATCCGATCAGTGCCAGTGTCTGTCCAATAAAGATTTCGGGCAACCCAGTCAACAGCAATACCATCAGGATGTGCAACTTGAGCGGTGACCACAAACTGACTACCAGATCCATCTAAGAATGAACGGCGTATGGCCTTCACTTCATCATCAGTCCAGTAGATATAGCCTTCCACAGGATCATAATCTATAGCAATGGCATGACGGATATCTTCTAATTGTAGAACAATGTCTGTGAAGTCTGGTGTATCCAAAGAAATGCGTCTCAAGTCTGTCCTTCGGGCTAAAAGCAGTAATTCAGTGGCACCTAGAACAAAGTGAAATAAATGAGGGGGGAAAATTGAAACCCACAGGCAAAATTCAGACACTCTAAAGAATGCAGAAATTCTTCAGGAACTGAATTGTAAATGAGTATAAAAGGGTACTAGGTTCTATTTGTCAAAATGGAAAGTAATGCAGTGAAATAGGAAGAATAGCTTGACCATGAGGTGAAGCTCTTTAATGACTGAGCTCTGGTTTCATTCATTATAGATAGCCTCTGAAAATAAAAACAGCTACTTAAAGGTGTAATGAATAATAATTAAGTAATGACTAAGAAGCCAAGTAGCTGAATATTAAAGGAGGAAGGACACAGGATATAGGTCCTTTGTTCTAAAAGCATGTTTTTAAAAAGGTAAGGAAATCTAGGACAAGGGTTTTATGTGACTGATGAGAATGTTCTAAAATTGGATTGCGATGGTTGCACAACTTTGTAAATTTACTAAAAATCATTGACTTGTACACTTGAAATGGCTGAATTTTATGATATGTAAATTATATCTAGACAAAGCTGTTGTGACAAAGATAACTATAAGATGATGCCTGACTGAATTAGGACAAAGGAGACTATGGAGAAAGAAATAGCAGCAGTAGACAGGGGGAATCAGATAAATGTAGCACAGTGGTTAAAAGAGTTGTAGATCTGCTAGAACTGAATTCAAGTAGCCATACAAACTTAGGCAAAATACCCAAACTCTCTAAGCCTAGTTGCTTCATCTGTATCTCACAGGGTTGCTGTGAGGACTCAGGAATGTACTGAATATAAAAGTACTCAATAAATATTAGCAATATATTATTATCATTAGAAAATACTTTTGAATTTTTATTTCACTGTTTTAAATCCGATTTATTTATGAAATATTTTAAACTCAAATTAGTATTCAATAAAAACATAGCTGAGACTGAGAATATTTGTAATTGTTCAAGTAAATCACCAGCAAGAAATCATCTAACTATAAAAAGATAATAAGAAAATTGACATTTGAAAAGTGAAAAAAGATTCCCAATTGAAGCAATAATTGCAAAGGAAAATATTGGCATTAAACTCAGAAGAGTAAAGCTCTCAACATCAGCTTTTTGAATGCAGAATTAATTGTAAATGAACTCTATCTTGGACAAAACACAGCCCTAAATGCCACAGCAGGCACCAAGTAGGAATAACTGCAAAATTCACTGCCTCTGCTGTAACTATCAAAAGGAGCCAGCCCAAAACTTTGTAAACAAAGAAGTCATAGAAAGTGAAGCTGTTAATTTGAGCAAGGTGATCAAAACTGAATAGTTAACTTAAGGCTACTACATGTCAAATATATTATCTGAATTTCAAAATAGTAGTTAAACATGTACTTTTGCACGCTGTGAGGGAGTAGACAGATCACTATTGCTAAAATAAATTGTTTGAAAGTCAGGCTACATATTTTTAAACCAAAAAGCAACATTACAAAAACCTTTTGTTTTAAATTGAAACCAAATTACTGTTTGCCATGGAAACCATCTGACAAGAGTCAGCCACCTTCACCTTTGACTATGAGGATAATTTATCAATGCCAAGTCCTGACAAATATCCTGTACACCGGCTCAATTCCATCTCTCTGACTCCCTGACCCCCTTGCCAGGAACTCTCTAACCCACTCTGAAAATAAAGGCTTCTGCCTTACAGAGTTAGATAAAGAAGCCACTGCTAACTATAACAATTTTCTTATCAGGTCTTGCTGGTGGCTAGAGAACAAGATGGTGATCCATTGGGGTAAGAATGAAGAATAGCATTCTCATAAAGAAGAAAAAGAGAAGAACTGGTGTTCTCCCAAACCAGAAGTTCCTTGAAATGTCCTCATAGTATACCTTTCTAGCATGCCATTTCTCTGTAGAGCAGAAATCTTCAACCTTTTTCATCTCATGGCAAACATGAACTAATTACTAAAATTCTGCAGCACACCAAAAAATATATTTTTTGCCGATCTGACCAAAAAAAGTATAATTTTGATTCATTCACACCAGATGGCTATTGTTGTGTTGGCTGTTGTCATTTTTTAATCTGACAATCTAAGGGGGAAAAGGTCAGTCAGTGCCCCTGACTAAATAGTTAGGTAATGCATGTTTTAAAAATTCTTGCAGCATACCAGTTAAAAATTGCTGCCATAGATAATTAAGAAAATAAAAAGAAGAGGCAGTGTAATTGCTACATATAGAGGGTGCTTTAAACAGTACAATATGAAATTTTTTTTCCTGAAAGCACTTCTCTGCTAAAAAGGCAATTAAAAATATCATTCAATTATTTTTCAGAAAATACTATCTACCCCCATGCCAGTCTTTATAGTTAAGTTTAATAAACATCTTTCCCTTGAAGAGGTTCTTTATGTACAAGTGCTATCTACTGTTAAAAATGTATTTTTTATTAGAATACTCAATTCCATAGGAATCAACTGTGATATAAATGACTATGAGAGTTGATAGAGAAAAGAAATAGCACTTTTTTTTTCAAAAGTTGCATGTTAAAAACACTAAAAATAATTTTTAAAATAGTTTTCAAGAGGCCAAAAAACACAAAACACTCCTGGTTATATAACCAATTATGAAGACTGAGATTAAGCAACAAGTCTCTCAAAGCACTATAACCTATAGAGCTTATTATAGAGAAATAAAATAAATCATAAAGAATCCCAATTGTTATTTAAAATTTTTCCTTCTTGGAGACCATGTTCTTACCATCATTGCAAGTTTTTCCATTCTCCAGGAGTTTGACCCCCGTTGGGCAAGCACACCGATAAAAAGGCTTGACTGGAGACATCAAACACAAGTGGGAACAACCACCATTATCAATTCCACATGGATTTGTAGCTGTCAAATATAAATCACACTGATTAATACCAATGATTATAGATGACCTCCCTCACTCTAGGTACACAAAGGTTAACAACCATAACATGAACAACTGTGATAAACCAAATTATTACCAAATGTCATCCAGGTGCTTGACTACTAGACCATCTGCAAGGAAGGGAATTAATCAGTGAGATTTTACTTAGCATTCAGTATCCAAGAGAAATACACAGGAAATAAAGCAGGAGTTTCCTGCCCTAAAAGAGCTTACAATCTAGTCAGTATGCCAAAATTAACAAACAATAAAACTAGAAAACAATATAAAACCATGAAACTGAATCCTACCTTGCACATTTCAGACTGTGTAAATAAGTATAGAGTCAAATGGAAAATAAATCACTAGGGATTAAAAAAACAAAAGAAGCTTCATGGAGGATGGAGGACATGACAGGAGCCTTGAAGGATAGGAAAGACCAGAGGACATTTCAAATGTGATGAAACCATATGAATAAAAGCTTGGAGGCTGTACATTGGGAGAGATAATAAGGTGAATAGTCTAACTGGAGACTAAGGTTTCTGTTGACAAATAAAAACTAAAATTGAATGAACACAGAGAATGAGAACAAGCTGGTGGAGGCACTGATAGCCAAGAAAAGTAATTCTAATGTCAAAAAAGAAAAATCACACTTTGGGAAGATGAGCATGGAAAAAATATGTATATGGATTTAAAAAAAGGAAAACTGAAAAGCAGAGATCAATTAGGAAATTTGTAGAAAACTATGAAAAGAAATGGATTTAAAAAATATTCAAAGAAAAAAATCAATAGAAGATAGAGAGCAACAAAATATGAAAGATAAAAGAAAGTAATATCACAGATAACTACAAATTCTCAAACTAGTAAAACATAAAGGATCAACAGTGCCATTAAAAAAAAAACAAGGAAATTCTTTCCTGAGGGCTAATCACGAGAATAAAAAATTCATACAAGTGACTAAATATTTTCTTTTTTGCAAAAGAATAACAAATACATTTTAAAACATTTTCATGGACTCATCATCACAAGATTCCAATATAACAAATTCAACATTTGACTATGTCCCCCTAAATGGAAGGAGCTAATACAAAGCAATGTATAATCCAAAAACTTTTCATTTTTGGCTATGGAATACAATCAGACACATGCCAAACATTTATTTACACACAAGTGCCAGACACTTAACATTCTCAAATTCCTTCTAAACCTAATTCTATTCCCCTCTGTAAGTAATTACTGTCGGCAGTCACAGCCCAAACAAAAGCAAAACTAAGAAAAAAGGTGATGGGGGTGTGCATAGGAAAATTTACATAGGTATTTTATTCAGCAACCTGAGGTACTTAAACTTACCAGTTAGATTAACAGAAGATTCCATTCAAGATGAGTTTGTTTTTAAACATACTCATATAAAACATCAAGCACACATTAGAGAGACACAACATGAACAAGAAATACATTTGTGTGTGAGCTACCTCAATGTCTTGTTTTATTTCCCTTTTCTCCACCTCCATAACTCTAAACCCAAACAAAGGGCTGAGGTGATCTGTAGTGACAGATATCAAGCTACAAATAGTTTAGGCTTCTTTAACCTGAATTACATTTTGATGTTTTCCCTATTTTTCAATTCCTCCCTGCTACCATGTCTTCCCCTTCCTCCTGCCTCTCAAGAATGCCAGACATCACACTGCTACAAAGCTATTCCAACTTGCAATTTAAAAATCAAGATCGCTTACCATTTGGCTGCCTCTGTTGGCTGAAGGCATGTATATCCATGGGGGAGAAGATGTTAGAATGGATTTCACGCAGACCCTCGCCAGTGTACTTGTTGCAAGCCAAAATGGAGTGTGTATTCCAGTCAGTCCAGTACAATGTGTCCTCAAATAACGTCAAGGCGAAAGGATGTGGAAGGGAACCTTTAACCACTGCTTGCCTATTAACCAAAAGAGAAAAATTCAAACATTTCTCAAGTTTATTCTTTTCTCGAAACTTCCTCTCTCCCATTAAATGGCTCTGTAATCCACATTAACACATGTAAATCCTGAGTAACACATACCTTAAGGTCAAATACACCTGTGAAAAATAAGTCTTATCATAGTGAATTCAAATATATTTTCATGGTGTCTAAAACCCCAAACCAAGTACTTCAGAATGGTCCCAAACTTGGTAGCAGCCCCCAGGTTCACTAAAAGCTACCATACAGAGAAGGCCCAAGTATTAGCACTGCTATCTATTCCCATCTCTGGACTCTCATCTTCCATCCTTCCACATAATTCATCTCATTAGAAAGAGAAAGGTGGGCAAAAAGAAAAATCCTAGGGTTTATCGTTGGCACTAGGAAGTAGTTTTAAATCAGCAACAGATTTTTTCCCCTTCTTGATGTGGAAGAACAAAGAATCTAAGGTGTGTGTCCTCCATCACTTCTTATGATTTCGATAACTGGAAGTATAAAACTTATACCTGAGGCTAAAAAGGCATTCTGGTAGAGCTTTCTCTGCAAACCCCAGTCTAGCTCCAGCAAAAGATTACCTCAGCTGGCTTTCTGCTATATGGTTTCTTAACCTCCACAAGTCATGTAGCAAAAAAGAAGTTCTGCCACTGGCAGAATGTGTTCATGAGACAAAGCAGACCTAAAAATCTCACAAGCAATCTATACTATACAAAAGAAAAGGTAGAGAGACTGATTAGTACTAATGGCACAGAACTTTGCAGAGTGTCATGGAAAGTGGTGGAATTAGTAAATACTCTTGAAAATTAAACAAAAAATGTTTTGAGCCAAAAGAATATTCAAAAAAAAATAAATGTTTTGAGATTTTCACAATATCAAATATAATATTTTCATAAACAGCCCAGGGAGGAAAGAAAGAAGGGAAGGAGAATATAAGCAACTGAAGAGAAATTAATAAAGAATATCGCATATTTTAGAGAAGACAATCCAATTTTAGGTCATTGAGGTTATTTGATGATCTGTAATATCTAAGAGACTACCAATAAAATAAGTTAAATCAAGAGCAATAAAATAATTTTTATCTAAGCAGAATTAGCATCTGTTACTGCACATGAAATGGTCCTAGCCTAAGGTGTTTTACATTTGGGGCAAATTTTTTAAAAAGTGAATACAAGATTAGCATGACTAGTTTACCAAACAAACCTTCTATTTTAGAACCTCGTATCTACTGTGCCAGCCCACATCACTGCAATTTTCTCCTCTCATTTTCCTTAATGCTCTCTTCCTTAGCAAATTACTTTTCTGTCTCATTTCCCCAAAAGGAACTATCGCCATAACTATTTCTGAAGTGGTTTATTCCACTTTTTAAATGAACAGCTTTAAGTTCACTGAAGTGATTATGAGATTTACAGGAATGTTATCACAGTTTAAGTCCAAATTTAAATAGGCCTGCATATTTCACACTAAAGTCTTCCAAAATTCATATGGTAAGACATAAAAAGAGAGAGTTCTGAGAAGTTGCCAAGAAAGATAAGTAACACAACTGAAAAATAAATAGCAAAAACGAAATTACTCAGCACTACATTAATAATCTTTAAAAATTGCAAATTACATAATCAGATCTTTGGAAAACTTTGGGGAGAAAAAAGCCTTCTAAGTCATTTGTATATTATTAAGTAAAAAGTTAAAATTCACTCTCATGAACTAAACACAGGAGAACAAACAGGAAAAACAAAATCCCTCCCTGAAAGATACACTCACGTTATATACTAAAAAAAGCATTTGCATTGATAAGAAATCAAACAGAGCTGAGTTTGAATGTCCCTCTGACACTTACTACTTATATCATTTCTGTAAGCTTTGCTTTCCTCATCTGTAAAGGGAAGGTAATAATCTAACCTCACTGATTTACTGTGAAGATTAAATGATAATATATGCAAAAGTATTTAGCATTATGCTTGGTACTTAATAAACAATTCATAAATGACTCCTCAATTTTAGGATATACATTTTTAATATTTTAATATTTCTGATACAGGGGTAACATTTTAAAACTGAAGTGAACATTTCATGTGGTAGTTTTTAAATCAATAAACAGTTCTTAAAATCAGTAACTTATTGAAATGAAGTAAATACTAGACTCTGGCTTATTTATATTCCCCAGAATCTCACACAACACTATGTGCATAAATTAGGTGGATTTATTAGACATTCAGGAAATGCTTAAAACTTCATTTCTTAAATAAAGCATATAATTAACAGAGCTGAACAAAAAGCAGAGCTAAGAAGGCTATCGCGCATTCTTGTCATATTCTGATCATTTACTGATTTGTCTAGTCAATGGTGACTTGTTCCTGAAAGGGAGGTAACTGTACATAGTCTTCACCTGTCTTCTCTCTGGCTGGGGTTACCAAGTAGGCCTACCTCTTGGTTCTCCCTAGAAATGCTAGTTACTTCAAGGCGGAGTTGTTCATGGGTACTGAGAACAAAAACGGCGGGCAAGATCAAAGCCCAGGTTTTCAGTAGTATGCCACAACAACAACAAAAGTTAAAAAATGGATCTCTACTATGGAGACCAACATATTGTGAATGACTACCACAAATAACCACCATCCTCTCATATAGATACAATTAAAAGAAAAAAATTTTCTCCTTGTCATGAGAACTCTTAGGATAAACTCTCTTAACTTTCCTATATATCATAGAGCAGTGTTAACTCTAGTCATCACGTTGTACATCTTTAAAGAAAAAAAACAAATAGGAAAAAATATTTAAAAAAAATAAAATATCTGAAGCACAAAGGAAAGCGGAGAGGACAGAACTATACTGTAGGAGAAAATAAAACCAAATAGTAACTCAGACCCTCATGAAGAATCGGAGTATGAGAAACTGCAAGTATGTAAGTTAGTTAACAAAAAAAACTCTGTTTTCTCCTTTTTAAACCTTTTTAAAAACACTGGCCAGCGTGGCTCAGTGGTTGAGCATTGACCTATGATCCAGGAGATCACTGTTCGATTCCAGTTCAGGGCACATGTCCAGGTTGCAGGCTCGATCCCCAGTAGGGGGCATACAGGAGGCAGCCGATCGATGACTCTCTCATCATTGATGTTTCTATCTCTCTCTGTCCCTTCCTCTCTCTGAAATCAATAAAGATATATTTTTTAAAAATTAAGATCGTATAAAGCAATAACTATAATATTGTGCTGGTTATAATAGAAATGTAATATAAATGACAATAATAGCACAAAGGGGGAAGAGGGAATGGAGATATACTAGAGTAAAATTTCTATAGTTTATAGTAATTAACTTAGTATTACCATAAAGTAGATTTTGACAAAATGCACACTGCAACCCCTAGAATATAATCACTACAATTTTTAACCCCAAAAATAGTTTAAAAAAACCAACAAAGGAATTAAAATGATACACTAGAAAATATCTACTCAACACACAGAAAGGCAGAAAAGAAGAACCAAAGGAACAAAAAAGATATTTAAAAAACAACCATCAAAATGTCAGATGTAAACCTAACCATATCATTAATAACATTAAATGTGAATTAACTACTCCAATCAAAAGACAAAAGGTTGAACACCTTAATATATGTATACAGTTGACCCTTGAACAATAGGATTAGAAGCATGATCCCAGGGCAGTCAAAAATTATGTATAACATTTTCTACATACATTTGCTTCTTTTCTAAGGAAGTGGAGCAGAAATTAATCTTTGAAGTTCATCACAGAAATTATATAGCTCATGTGGGTTTTTCAATTAAGAAAAAAAGATTTGGAATCAGCAAATATATAGCTTACCCCAGACCTGAATAGGAAGACTCTTTTTCACCTTTGTGTGAGATTTCTTTGGAGAATTTAACAGATGGAAGATTATGGATACTGTTCCCAAGGGCCAACCGATATTCAGTTTACCCCTTCCAAGACCAGTCTGTATCCTCAAGGCACGGCTAGAAGCTCATGCCTTGCTGACTGATCAAAAGCAGCATATTCATAAATAATAGCACACAATTATTCTATAATAAACAATACCATTTGACACACATCTACTAAACACCTAGTAAGTGCTATGTACTGTGCTCTGCTTACTGCACTTATCAAACACAAAAGTTAAAATAGTGAAGTTTAAAGGAAGATCATTTAAGGAATATAGAGTTTATACCTTCTCTGGGTACAAAGGTCTATCCTTATTTTAAGTTCAAGATTACCATCTTGAATAACATTAGCTTAATCATTTGTAGAATTACCTTTACTGAATTATGCCCCCAACTTTTAACAAAGACCATCATGGAAAAGTAATATGAAATTAACACACACAAAAACAAATTCAAACAATACCCATTACAGCCCTCCTGATTCCACATAAATTCTTCTCAAATCTGATATGACGAAAATCTTCTCTTGCAAAGAACTCTTAAGTTTCCACCTTTCCAATTGTGTTTACTGTTAACTCATTTTACTCTAGCTGCTGAAAAGCTTACAGACACAGAAAAAAAAAAAAATCAAATAAGACAACTTAGTGAGTTACTATATGCAAACCTGTAACCTTAACCCAGGTCAAGAAATAATTTTGCCGAGAACCACAGAAGGCCCTTCATAGACCCTGTCCAGATCCCTCCCGCTTCACAACAATAACCATTATTTTGACTTTATAGTAATCACTACCTTACCTTTCTTGATAGTTTTATTACCCAATTGTGCATTCACAGAAAAAGTTTAGTCCTGACTACCTGTTTTTTTCATTTGCTGTGCTTTTTAAGTCTCTCTTTTTAAGACTTTTTTTTAAAGAGCACTTTTAATTTCACGGCAAATTTGAGGGGACGGTAAAGAAATTTCCCATATATACCCTGCTCCCACACATGCACAGTCTTTGCCCTTATCAACATTCTCAACAGAGTGGTACTTTTGTTACAATTGGAGAACCTACAATGATCCATCATAGTTACCCGAAGTCCATAAGTACCTTAGGTATC